ACCTATACCAAAATGGTTTCAAATTATAACTAAAAATCTCTTAAGAGAACAACTAAAGCAACTCACAAGATCTGGGAGAGAAAATTTTATGAAATGGGAACCAGAATACTCCAAAATAGAAGTCAATTGAGACAAGCGGAAAAAATTGTGGATAGTAATGAGAAGTAAAACAAATCTAGTAATATAGAGAAAATTAAGACAAGAAAAAGAGAGGAATGTTATGATAGTAGAGCACTTTGTCAGTTGCAGCACCAACAATGACCAGAAAACTAATATACAAAAATATTCAGGATGTTCAGAAGGTATAATACTAAATAGTGACTGTATCATAGAAAGAAAAATAGAAGAGATATATATAGTACCATACCTCAACACAAGAAAGTCCACTAGAAGAATACGAGATTTAAAAATCTCCAATCCTAGGTTAGCACTTGAAAATAGGATTAGAGAAGTGATTTACAGAGACCAAAGCCCATTCAAGATTCAAAATGACAGAATAAATCACGTGAACATTGAAACCTGAGAAGAATCTATTATCAGAGAAAATATTAAAGAAGGCATATATCAAGATCAGCTGATAGCTATATTTCAATGTAATCTCGAATCCAAAGAAAAGCTAATCTTCTATTTTGACAGATCACTTATTAATCATGGTAAAGAAGAAATGAAGATGGGTACAGCTTGGATTCAGATTGGTAAAGATGGAATGACAAACAAGTTTCAAATAGGAGTAGACAAGTGGCCCTCATATATACGAGCAGAATTGGTAGCAATCATAACAATTCTTCTGATAGTTCTAATAGAAAGTATGGTGGAAATCTTTATAGATAGTCAGGCATGTATCTCTAAGTGAAAATCTTTAGAAAAAGAAGACCCAAGAAGGACACACAAGAGATGGCTCAAAGAAAAAAATTGGTCACTCTGGGCATGCATAGTAGAGCTAATAAAGAAGAAAAATATAGATTTAAAGTTCACAAAAGTCAAAGCACATTCAAATGATCCTTATAACGAAGAAACAGATACCTTAACTAAAGAAGCTCTAAAATTTCTACTGACTGAATGAAAAGATTTTACCTCACGTAAAATTATTACTGAAATCAAGTGGCAAGGGATAACTCTAGATGATTCAATCAGGCAGTTTATTAAGAACATTAATAACAAGACAATAGCCTACCAGTGGACACAACAAAATAGAATTGAGAAAAAATAGAGTCAACAGATTTCAAAACACCAGGATTATACATGGGACCTAGTATGGGAAAGAGTTAAAGACAGGCACACGTGGGATACATCTTTTAAACAATCCCAACAAAGAAGCTTTCTAATCAAACTGACCAATAACGAGCTACCTACACTAAGTAAGTTGGCTATAAGAAGATCAGACCTATACAAGCAAGTGAAATGTATTGCATGTAACCAACAAGATGAAACCATAGAACACTTGCTAGAATGTTCAGCCTATAAGAACCAATTAAAAGAAATATGGAATAAAGGAGTAGATAGTATCATCAGAAACTTTAAAGAGCTACTAGAGGAAAGAAAGAGAGAGACTGAGGAGAAAAATCCCAGGTTAATTGTCAACAACCGAGAAGAGATAGGAGAGTTTGACAAATGGACCTCTAAAGTAGTAGAACAGGTTTCTAAAACTAGCCAAGACACACTAAGCTTCTGTACTGGCCTTATAAGAACAGATATTATCCTAGAAATGGCAGATTTAAAATGTCAAGATAAATGCATAGAAAGAATAGCAAGAAAATGAATAATAAAAATATAAAGAAGAGTCTGCAATCAAGTTCGAAAAGAAATCTGAAACAAGAGATGCAAAAAGATAATTGAGTGGGAAAAAACATAAGGAATTGATAGAGAGAACAAGACAAGAAGACCTCCACATCTTTTAAGCCTGAAAACTATACTCATGAAGAAAAAAGAGCCACTACTTGAAGAAGAAAATCTCGAAGATGAAGGCCTTTGGGAAATTTTAACAAGAAGAGTGAAGTATGAAATAAAATAGTTGGGGTTTTAAGCTTTGTCAGAACATCACAGAGTGATCTGCAGTAGTAAACTGCAGGCAATGAAGTTAACAGTTGGAAGGGTCTTTACTTGAACTGTTAATGAAGTGATAAATCACTCCCGAAGTTGCACTTAGAGTTTTAATAATTTTTTAAAACAGAGACGAGTGAGTTAGATAGAGTCTTAGCTTTAGCGATATATTCTCCAATATAAAGTATACACATGTTTAATAAAGCACATGTACCTAGCCTGACAAAGAATTTAAAAAAAAATAATAATTAATTTTTTCAAATAATTAAAAAAAAATTTTTTTTTAATAAAATATTTCTTTTGTAAAAAGATTTTGAAAATAAATCTTTAAAAAAAGCTTATTTTTTTTTGTATATTGGTATATTTATTTCTTTATTTCAAGCCATCCCTTTTTGTGATTTCTTGTATTCCAGTGGCTTGATAGTAGGAGAGTTTTTACTCAAAGTTTATTATAAAATAAAATATTGTTCACAAAGTCAAACTTAAAGACTATTATTACCCATGATGAGTTAGTTTAGCTATAGTATTTATCATGCTATTCAAATGAAAATGTTACCTGGCTGCGGGTATTACAAAAAAAAATCACATATTATGCCAATTATAAAAACTTAATCATCGCCGGACTTAATTTTATATTACTCAACACAAATGAAAATTTGTTAAACGATTTTATTTTAAGTCATTAAGATTTACATTATGCATAACGATGATTCATTCATTCCTGCAAGGTAATTTCTAAAGCGCGATTGAGCAACACCTTCCTAAAAATAACATTCTTTTCTTCTCCTTTGAGGCAACAGCGCGTGTGCAATGAAATCAGATTTTCATAAACATTTTCTTTTCTTTTCTCACAATATATACACAAGTTTCGCCTGCAGATACTTTGATCCCATCAGAAATGTCGGATATTTTACCGAAAATAAATTGTCGATCATTGGCGTTTCTCGAAACAAGCTTATTCATTAAAAAGATGTTCTCGGACCTTATCGAATGTGAATTACTGTAACTAAATGCAAATAACATTTGACAGGAAACAAATCGTTCATTTATCCGCGGAATTTATTAGTGAAAGCCTTATGAAATTATCCCTTCCGGATAACGTAATAAAGTTACGTAATAAAGTTTTTGAGAAATGCTAGACAAGTGTTGCCCTTAATCTATTGGTGCAACAACTACCACGAATGACGGGTCTCGAAGAATTTAATATAAAAATTGAATTGACCCACAGTTATTTGAAATGATTCTTCGCTGATGACCCGAACGCTTTTTGTAAACGGAGAATATAGTTGACTAATTGAGGTCTAATTGAATTCTTGTGTTTAAAGTGGATTAAAGTCATCCCGTTGACCATATATCGAGAAAACATTAAAGAAAAAATGGGGAGGGTTTCATCGAAATTCTCGAAGGGTAATTATCCAAACGGCTCACCTCATTTACTATTTCCGCTTGATGAGTCGCAGATAAATCGAATGCAAATACGACACAATGTTTACCGCGAATTCTATGGTTCAAATTATAAATCTCCCATGGAGGACCAATTAAGAAAGGGTGATTTCAAAGTGCTAGATATCGGGTACGCTGTTATACAATGTTCCATTTATTCGTCTTGATGCAAATTTTCTTTCTATCACAATCTTCTTGTGATATTAAAGGACATGCCCCGTATGGTCTATGGACATGGCGACCTCTTATCCTGCTTCGCAATTTACATATTTAATTCATATCCCCAACATGTAATAATCATTCAAAGAATATTTCAATCCAGCTTCTGAGCCAATGCGCATTTCCTTAAATAGAAACCGAGAAATGTTAAAACAATTCATTGTGACATCCTAAAGAAGTTTCCATTTGGTATGTGAGATAGATAAATCTTTATTTTAGGACCAACACTTTAGATTATTTCACCATCTTTCTTTAATAATTTCCATTCTTATCCTCTCTTTTTTCCTTATGAAACCCTCCTTTATTAATTAGAGAACGACTCCTTTGATTACATTCACCTGAGATATCTCATAATTCATCTCAATTCCGAACAATGGGAAACAGTATTTAAGGGTGAGTGGAGTGTGCCTTGGTTGATGGCCACTCGGAATTCTATTTGAATTTTGTTTTCGACACTTGTTCACAGAGATCACAAGAATCTTGAAACCCGGAGGATATTTTGAATGCCTTGATGCAGAGCTGACGATTTATAACATTCCTCCGTGTGCTGAAATTTATTTCGAGGGAGGTAAGTTATGATTTGCGCTTTTGAGTGAGTCATTTCACCCTGTTATTTCACGCTAATCGCATTATCGTGTGCGACCAGTTCGGAAACTATTGGAATCAATGCACATTTATCCACTTGATGTTCTTAAATTTGAACAATATATGCTGAAAACAAAAGTTCTTGAAAATATAAAGCACCAAAGATACGTTGTCTCGATGACAGATAAGCATGTTGGTAAGTTTCTTAAATGTTTCCAGCATGTTTATTTTCTTTCGACCAGAATAATTTTACTTTAAAAAATTTTTTTTAAATTGTTTTTTTTTTTTTTGTTGCAGGCAATCTTCTATTGGAGAATATGATCATGTTCATTTTGAGCTCAAAGAAATCGTTCGATTCACACCTCGGCAAAGAGATTGATAGGATGATTCAAAGGTTACCCGCTGACTGCAAATTGTATAATTCATACACACGCCAGCATAGATATATAGCCGTTAAAGTATCATAGCCGAAAGCTCGGGCAACAAAATTCGTATAAACATGCTGCATGTGCATTATATACAGTGTGTATATATGTATGTGCGCGTGTTCATGTATTATAAAATTTTGATATTACTGTATATTATTTCGATCTCAAATTAAAGGTTTTTTACTTTTAAGCACGTGTTAAATCAGGGGGATTGTGTCGTGTTTTACGTGATACAGCGTCATGAATAAATTTATCGAACTGTCGATCGTCCATCATTTCGTAGTCATGCACTTTCTACAGCTTCCGGAATGTCTCGAAAATGTCTTCAAACATTTGGACAACAAATCCTTGTACCAATGCCTTCTTGTAAATCACTTCTGGTCTCAAAATGTTGTTCCTTTGTTCTGGTATAATCCTTTTCCAAATTACTGTCTTGCCAACGAAGCTTACCACACAGATGTTATCGAAACCTACATATCTTGTCTTCCGGGAACAACACGGAATCGGTTGTTTGCCAACACCGAACTGACCGCACTCGCCAATCCATCGTTCAATCCATCATTCAACTACCCGTCTTACCTGCGACACCTTGAATTCACCACAATTTATGAGTTAATCGTGAAATGGACGGCGAGGAGGTTCAGGCGCGACGACAGTGATCTTGAAAATCAGATATTTCGAGAAATCTGGAGACTGTTATTGAATAGTTGTCCGCCATTCAAGAGTGTGGTGTTGAGATCATTCAATTATGAAGGTTTTGACGAATTACTTAATGATCCTCATACCTTATTCACCGATTGCTCCCGGAAATTGTTTGAGAGACTCTACTTATTTCATTCTTACCGTATGCCCTCAGAATTAATCAATTGCTTTGTCCAAATTTCCACGCAAGCCACCAACATGAGAATCATGTGTTCCGATGTGAGCTCAGGAATCGACGTCCTCGTCCAATCTCAAAGAAACCTTAAAACCGTGACCTTGATCAACTGCACTAATCTATCGAAAATTTTGCAGATCTTACACGAGAGACACTCTTCGACCCTAACGGAATTAACGATAAAAGAGAATGAGTTTGATTCGACTTGGAATGAAATTGGACCCATCATATTTCTAGAAAACCTTCAAATTTTAAACCTGGACTCTTCGGCTTCCGTATTTTCAAAGCCGGTATTAGAGAAGTTCTTGTATACTTCCTACAAAAATCTCGCAGCCGTAAACATAGAAATACACTCACCGCATATAAGTCAATTGATCTCCTTGCTTCAAAACACCAACAGCCACCTTACCTATCTACGTCTTCTCTGGTATTACCCCAGGGATCCGGAAAATATCCTGTCGTTGACCAAAACCGTAATACAGTGTTGCATAAATTTAAAATCACTCGTATTTAAATTGTCGAAAGAAACAATTCACCTACTGCCCACAATTCTAGGATCAATGCCTTTATTAACAGAGGCTTCTTTTTATAATGCCTCAAATGACGCCTCCCATATATACAATCTCGATGAGGTACTGCCGGAATGTGGTAAAGTATTGAAATGGCCGTTGAAATATTTGGGGTTACATCTTCTTTGGACCATTACCACCGAGGCTCTTGAAAGTTTTTTCAAGAATGCAGAGACAAGGATGATCCGGGAGTTGTATTTGTCCACGGATTGTTTGAATTGCGGGAATGTCTTGAAAGAACATCAAGATATTTTGGACATGTATGCGAATAGAGGCGTGGGAAGAATAAGATTTGAATGAACGCGATTCTCATTCATTCTACCAATACCAACGCAAAGCAACGATGTTCGTCGCTTCAGAAGGTCATCGGTTAGTGATTACTGCGATGAATAATGGCAGCCACACGCGAGATAAACGCGCAATTATATAGGATGGTCACCTCGGTTTTTTCCTTTGGAAATTTACGCATAATTTCGCGTAAAAACGTACGCCTAATGGTTTTAAAGACTGCATCGTTCTCGCATTTACCGACACAAGCTAGCGACATTGCTCCGAAATATTGCCGTTCAACCAACGAGGGAAGTGATCAAAAGCACTGTTTAATCGATGCCGTCTGGACATTAATAGCAGACTTTTATTTGTACTGTATTTTTAGAATGTATTTGATTAATTTTCAGTGATAGCTATGAAAGAATTTTAGAAATTTTCAATTATCATCATTATTTGGGAAAATTGTAAATGTTGATTATTGGATTTTTTCTTTTCTTTTTTTTTTTTTTTTTTGCTTTCCATGTAACGCACCCCCGACTGTTATAATTTAAATGAACATGAGATGAAATCATCTTGAATAATATAAAAAACGGGTTTTCTTTAAATATCTATAAAATTTCTTCTTTAAACTATAATTCTACTTTTTAATAGTTTCGGATTGTTGTTAACTTTGATTGTTCTCTTCGTTTTGCGACATTTCCCGTAGGATGGCTAAAAGTGTTATTGAAGGTTAGTCTTATTCGGAGGAAAGACGAGAGTAGTAATAGATCACTTGTATCTTACCATGCCATGAATTGCTTTGAAGACTGTTAAGAACTTGGTCAGCGGTTGCACTGTCCATATCCCTACTGGCATCCACGGAATTCCATGTGTTATTGGTGCCGGCTCCCGAAAAGTCTCCGCTGCTCCTGATCACAAAATATGCGATGTTAAAAGAAGTTTTTCAAAACGACAGTAATAAGACGAATAACACAAAATCCTTAAAAAATTCTTACGAATCACGGGAGATCCTTGAGGGACTTTCTAAATTAGATTCCAATGTCACTGCCAGGGAACCGTCATGTTCGAACACCTGGGAATTAGGCGAATTAGGCGATTGAGCTATTGCGGCGAATGTTGGTGTTGTTGGTGAATTTGATTGGAAAGATATGTGACCAAATCCTGGTGTGTTTATTTGAAGCGTCGGTACTTGAGATTCCTGATTGTCGACCCTTATAAGTGGAACTGCAAAAATAAGACAACTTAGGTTAACTGGAGAACTGGAGAACGGCGAATAACCCTAAGACTGACTATTGTCAAGTTTACCGGATTCGCTGACACTCCTTCTGCTTTCTTTAATGGCTTTGAATTTCTTGCGCCAGTAGATAGTGCGCAATAAAGATTTCACGCGATCTCTACAAACGTTGTCCTTCACCTTTTCCAATTTTTTGGCTCTCTTAATATATTCATTGATCCTAAATTGAATTTAAGAATTTCCTTTAAAAAATGAAAAAAAGATGAAAAGCGAAATTAGATTGGAGGGATAGAACACCGTCGCAACTTACTGTAAACATTTTTCGTCATCCACAAGTTTATAGTGAGCCAATAGCAGGAGCATATTTGTAAATGAGATTCCTTTTTCATTTCCGAGAGCGTCCCTTTCAGTTGACAGCATCGCCTCCTTTGAAAATCAAAATAGTTCATACAAGGTCAGAATGGAAACCTCGGAGGTCCAACAGGTTGGAAACAAAGGGAATACCTGATAGATCATATTATAAATTCTTTTGCGTTGTGATATTTTGGAGGGATTTAGATTCTTTAGATTCTGTTGCAATTTCCTGGTATCAATATTTTCCTTCGCCAGAAGGTCGAATCGATTTTTGTCTTTCATGCTTGAGATCGAGTCCCTTTCGTCAGGGGTGGTCAGGGAGTGGACAACCCGTGAATTTCTTACCAAATTTGGTACCAGATGCTCACTATCGTGTATTCGAACTTGAAATGATCCCTCGAGTTTCTAGATTGAGGTTAGTTTTGTGAACCATGAAACCAAGTCAATGGAAAATAAAGCAAAATAAATGTCGCACCGAAAAAAATTTGGGAACATCCTCGCTTTTTATATATCCCGTTCTTTCGGTATCGATTACACCCCAAGCCTTCTTCAATGTGATAAAACCAGTTAAGGAAATTTCTTTGGTGAAAAAAAATGAAATGACATCCATTACTTAAGAAAAGAAAAGCAAAAGGATATTTTCTAATTTCATCACGATTAATTAACGAAAATTCGGCAGCAATCTGATAACAATAAGAGAAGTTATCCCCGACCAAACCGATAAACATGCTGGCGAATATGTACATGGAGAGCACATTCCACGATATGAATAGAAGGTATGCCCATATCCTACTACCGCAGTCGGAATTCAAGAAGTCGTCATCTTGTACGCAGTTTGGATATTCGATGGCAAAATCGTGCATTACCGCATTCCATCCTTCCCTGCGAGTCAGACGTGTCGTTATTATCGTGTAGCGAAAACCATTGACAATGATGCGTTACAATAATAAATCATCATCTACCCAGTGGACATCCTGAAAAACGTCAACATGGAAATACCAAAGTGACGGAAGTTCACTCGATCACCACCGTTTGGTCCGTATCTCGTGAGCCCGAAAATTTCCATAAACATTATCGAATATATGACAAATACGATGAACCAAACTGCGAACAGGTTGAAAATTGACGGTATACTTCCGCTATTAAAAAGTAAATGAATAAATACGATGAACAACGATAAACCAAATTCACAACTCCAACAAAGAGAAAAATGAATTTACATCATATTCTTAAATAATTGATTCATCACGTCACTTTTTTGGAATAGTTTAAACGTCACCAGACATAAAAACACTTTTTGAAGTTGTATGACCAAATCATCCGACATGACCATGAATAAACCCGGAATCGTGGTCATCGCTGCTCCCACAATCACGAAAAAATCAAACAGGTTCCAATGATTCGATCTGAAGACCTTCCATCCCAATCCCAGCAGTTTCATCATAAGTTCGGTCGCATATATTCCAATAAATATTAGAAACACGATAGCTGTGTTTTTTCAAGGAAAAAAATTGTGCCGATGTTAGCAATAAGCGTGAAAAAAATGGATTACTCATAAGCATCTTACTTCTTGAAATCTCCCACCACATGGGGGCCCCATAGAAGTCGGTCATAAGTAACCCCATATGTAAAATATAGATCCCCGTCATGATATTTGACAACGTTCCCCTTTTCTCGCACGCATAATCGTAACAGAATGCCCTGAAAGAGCTGGTAGGTCGAACCTTTGGTAATTTCGAGGGTTTAATTCGCTTGAGCAATTTCTTCAGATCATTCCACCTCTTCTGCTCCTCGGTTAGATATGCCTCTCCAGATTTCTTTTGAAAATTCGTTATGATCACACTAACAAAGACTGTCAACACAAAGACCGATCCGGCCAAATTGAAGATGACGAAGAACATCGCGTTCCACTTCGTGGCGTTCGGTTGAGGACTAAGGTTTAGGCCGGTAATTTGCATTGCCGAGTTCATCACATTAATCCATCCTTCCCCAGAAACACCTTCAAAGAGGATCAGTAAACTATCCTTGAACGAATCGAAACTATACTGATATGGATTGTTCCACACCCTTGGTGAAAGATATGCCCAATTAAATGTTGTCTGTCCGTACTCTTCCACGCAATCATTAATCGTTTGGATGGAGGAACCGTTGTCGTTGCAATTTAAAAAGAGCCCCGCGAAAATGTTTGTCCCATAAATGGCAAATGGTATGATCAAGGAAAGGGCCAAGAATGATGCGTCCAAGATACGTGGGGCACCGGCGATAAGAATTGAATAGAAAGTATCTTTAATCGCGCTATTCAGATTAATCAATCGGAGCGCTCGAAGTGCTTTAAAAGATCTGATGATCCTTGGCGCTCCAAATCTACTTGTTGGTCCGATCACGACATTGGCGTACAATGTGGCGAGCACAAAGAAATCCAATATGTTCCAAACATTAAGTAAATATGCATTCGGTGTAAGCAGAAATCCGTCCGCAACTATTTTTATCAGGCATTCGACGGTAAATATCGCGGCGAACACAACATCAGTGATCCAAAACCAGGTGATTCTCTTTAACCCTCCCCTATCTTGGAAATACTGTTTCTGATAGGAGGGCACGACGATTGTGGCAAGAACCACATTCGCCACAATACACACGTAGATGAAGGCGCTGAATAAGGTGCTCCATGTCGGAGAAGGTGGAATGCCCTTGATCCGTCGACCATGGCTTGGGGGTACAAGTAGTTGACAGAATCTTCTCAGACGGTTACGCGATGGGAACAACCAAAGGGAAGTATCATATCCCGGATGGGCAGCAATAAAATCTGCTTTGAGAGCTTGACGCTCTTGGTAATCATCGATGTATGTTTCAGCGTGCTTGTCGACGACGGTAGTCGCGATTGGATTCCTGAGAAATGGACTCAACTTAACAGGTAACAACAAAACGGTTGTAAAATCAGGAAATGTGCATTCAATTTACATATTTTCGGTAGTTCCTTTAGTCTCTTCATATTGAAGTCCCGACACCTCTCGTTCAATCAAAGCGATCTCGTCATCTTCAGCCTCGTGACCGAAGAATCTTTTGATTCGGATAACGAATTTATTCGTTGGTTCCATGAAATTTTTCTCCGGGTGACTCTTGATTAAAGTTAAATTAAAATCGATGCAACTTTAGTCGATTAACTTCTAGCGTATGGTCGAACCTTCACGGAAATTCACAAGATTACCTTCTTTCCGATGTTCTGGTCATCTTTGAGAAGATCCCAGACACGACTTTTTTGCGTTTGCAGAATTAAATTCGATGGAATACTTTCCACAGCAATTGCCTTCGGCTTGGCCTTGAAATATCTATAAAAATTCCACCTATAAATCGCTTCTTCTTTTTTTATCGACGGATCAGATTTTTGTCTAAACGCTTGAACCTGTCTTTTGTGTTTCTCCTCCTCGGCTATCTCGAAGTTTTCCGCTATTACAGCGACAAACATATTCAGGAGGATGACTGTGATAAAAAATTAGATTTCACCAGGCTTATTAAAATTGTGGACACCTTGCATTACGCTAATGAAAAAACTCGAACACCGAACTTACAATTGGACACGCCGATGTATGTCATAAGAAATAGAGCGGCAATGATGGCCGATGCAGTGGATGCAAACATTGAGTCATATTGCAACACATTGTTAAACACGGTGGTCCAATCTGATCCAGAGAAAAGCTTGGTAATGATAGATATTCGTTTATGAGATGGATAAAATAATAAAAGAAAAATAGCGTTTGTTCGGACAAAATTTACCTGATAAAATGCGATAAAGCTATTGTAAAAGTCCGCAAATGTCATCAGATTGGTGCCATCATTCGGAATGTAACCTTTCAACAGCAGTAAACCCTATTACAATTGAGCAAATGACGAGTCAGTTTCTCCAAGGTTTTTTTTTCTTTCTTATCCCTTTTCTACTCACGGATATGGCGGCAATTAGGTTGACCATCAGGATGAATAAAATTAAATTAGCAAGACCGGCGACACTACCCACCACACTGATCTAGAATGTCATTTTTCGTTGCAGAACAAATTTAAATGAGTATTGAATACATGTATATAACTTTTAGTTTGAATTGAATCAAATATAAAACAAATTTCACCAGCATATTTCTTAGTCGAGGGATTGAAATCACAACACGATACACCCTGGCAACCTGAAAAGCCGTCAAGTAAGGATAAGCCGACGAATTCTTTATGACGGGAATTTGAATGACACATGTGACCACAGCCAATAGCAGGTCAACGGTTTCTTTGTTGGAGTGAAAGAACAAGTAGTATCTTGGGTGATATGACAAGAACCTTAGCAATATTTCAACTGCAAAAATTATTGTGAAAACCAGTTCAGTACGATCTATCGGTCATCATGGAAGTTATACGGGAGGGATGTTAATATATACATTTATTCACGTTCCATCAACATAAAACACAAAAGGTCGATCAAGTTACCCAAAAATGCGGTAAATTCGCTGTCCATGAGGGAGGATCTATAAGCCATGACGAATATGTCGATGAATACGCACATGACCCACACGTACTTGGTCCGTTCCATAAAACGGCTTAGCCAATTGGATGATTTCTGGTGACCATTTTGCAAGGTCCAACCTTCCTCCTCTTCTAATAACACGGGGGTCGACCTATCCATGATTGATGCGAACATTAGTAAAAAAAAAAAAGAAAGAAGGACGGGATAGAAAATATGAATTAGAGATGAAAGGTGAAACCGAAAGTATTACTTTGACAAGGTAAAGGCCGAACGAGAGGCGTTGTCTTCTCGAATCTTTGCAAACATGCTTATGATGACTGCTATGAATAAGTTGAGCAGCCAAAAATTCAACACGACAATCCCTGTTATGAAGAATATGCTAGACCACCCAAATTCAGCATCCATAATTTTGTACATGAGGTCCGTCCAATTCGACGCTGACGCAAAGAAATGGTTAAAGGTCGGTGATCAACACAAATAAAGACTTTCCCATGCACCAGAACTTAACTTACTCGAGGCGACGAGAAACATTAGAATCATGGAATAACCAACATTGTCAAACGAATACAATCCATTATACGGGTTTCCTACTTCCTACATTAGGTTATTTCGTTAACGGAATGATTTTCTCGAACACGTCCTGACGCATTGACAAAAAAAAAAAAAAAATGATAAATCATACCATGCAAACCTGACCTTCGGGGCAAACATATCCTTTGGCATAAGAAACGGGCGAACCGATAAACGGATGAGAAATGCCATTCTGATAATGACCCCCGCAGTATTGACCTTCTAAGGTGTAATTTCCCGCGCCACTTTGGTCGATCCATACACACCGCCGCCGTAACGATCCTTTGAAAGCTTGTACACCAATAATGCTAAGAAGAACGAAGAAGAACCCAATAAAATAAGTGACATTCAACAACAGTGGTGCACTTTTTTTCAATGACTGTAAAATTGTTGATCCACCGCTACTAATGGCGAGGAGTCTAAGACTCCTAAGGGTAGATAATGCCTTGAAAATATAAAAATTGTGTACTCCAGAAAAGGTAAGCATGAGATCTATCCAATAACAGACCACGGCTACCAAGTCGAGCCTGTTGAAAGTGTGTCTAAGATATGCGGAGTGTCCTCGAACCGTGTTCGGCGCATAATGATGACTTTCTGTTGACACTGATAGCGACTGCGTAACGTCAATAGTTTCTTCATTTTTCGGGTTAATTATAAATCCTGACACCACTATACGACCAGCTATTTCAAATCTAATGAGATTATTGAGAAACAAAGAAGAAAAGAAAAAGAAGGAAAACAAGTATGATAATCAATGGTGATGGTGATGCTTTTCTTTTAAGAAAAAGTGAATCCAATCACCTACGTATATATGATAAAAATTACCAGTAAAGCGTAGTCGATTCCGGTACCCCAGGTTGTTCGCCTAGGATGAACGTCCACTGGAGGAACCCAACTTTCAGCAATCCATAATATAATATTAGTTATGATTAAGCATAATATGAATGTCTCGACCCATCTACCAAATTATATCAGATGAAAGAAATTTTTCCTTTTGTCAATATATATATATATATATATATATATATGTGTGTGTGTGCATATATATTTTTTTGACTTACGGATTGCTCAAGATCACATAAAGCGCCTTCCTGACGGGGTGATCGGGACCAAAAATAAAGAGTGCATTTCCACCAAGAGCGCCCGATGTAGAATTTTGACCAACTGGCGACTCTTCTACGATTGGTTGTCTCAGAGAAGCCTTATCATCGTCGATTATTGAGACCTGGTCGGTTGACTTCCTGAAGCGACTCTGTCGTTTGGGTAACTTTATATCTTCCGAAACATATTCGTCGACCTTCTGTAATTGCTCCCTCGTTAGATTACTGATATTGACGACTCTGGTGGAAACCCTTGCAACCATGCTGCTCACTCGTCTGAGACTTTTAGATGCAGCAAGTCGAGATTTCCTATTGGTTTTATTTGAGGACTCTCGATCTGGATCGTCGAAGTGAATATGGGGAGTTTCCTCTTGTGATTTTTGATGCACGCGAGTTGATGTGACATCGTCAATTTTGTCAAAGTCCTCAAAATAGTCTTTTCGATTGTTCTCTATGTTTGATGAATGTTCATTGACCACATCTTCCCTTCTGGAAACACCCGACATTTCTACATACTCCTCTTCGCCATCTATTACGGACGCCTTTTCCTTATTAAGGAATGATGTTAATTGTCGAGATGTAGAGTCCCGCTCATCAGAATTATCATCTTCAAACATCAACCTATCGGTAGATTGATAGATTGTTGATGGCTGCATAAATTGTTGAGTCTGCAATGAAGTGTCGAAAGATATCAACTCGCCACGTGAATCCCCTTGTGATTGTAAGCCTGTATGTGAAGGTATGCTATGAGAAGAATCGATATTTCTATCCATTTCGAAAGTGCTTCATTAAGGAAGGTAAAAAAAATTTTCTTTTCTAATAAAAGTTTGAAAGGATTAATGAAAAAGTTTAACGAGGCTTGCACATTAAATAAAATTTATATGCGATCGAAATTGCAAACTGTTACAATTATGCATTTCGACAAGTATGGAAATATCAATCGGATGAATTGTTTGTGCCCTATCGTATAGTAGTTTATTTCCTGACACAATAAATATGCACGTACCTATTAAAATATGCAGATGTTCATACTAGACCTGCAATGTGATAGGTAGACTTCTGGTGTACACTTGAAACAAAACATCCTGATAGTAGTAGAAACAAGAATAACCGGATTTAAACTACATGATTTTGTTGATCAATATCCGATGATCGTAGAATACGTCACGCTCCATACAGGCATCTAGAGTTCAAAATACATGAATTGTTTGCTTGGAATGACAATCATGTCAAGCTGATCGATATTTAGGTTTTTTTTTTTTTTTTTTGGACTTCTTGATTGACCGTCGCTGTGAAACCAGGTTTAATGAGGTTTTGTAAGCCAAAATACCTTGTTACGATGAAATAAGGACAATTATTTTTGAAAGGCGACCAAAATATTAAACGTGATTTTTTCGGTCTCCATTTTGGGTAATACGTGTATAATGTAAATTTTGTTAAATATAAAGGTTGAAATCGATCACAGATTGAAATGGTTGGTTTTAAAAGACATGCGCGCTTCGAACTTATTCTTCGAGTTCTTGCAATTCGTGAATCGCATAAATCATATGCTTTATAATCAAAGACCTTTACAACACTTATTAATAAATTAAAATTTTAAATAATTAGTCCGGAGGACTATATACTGTATGCATGTTAATGATCCCCCCGCTCTTCTGTTGAGTCAATCAGCAATCACGTATTTCCATTTTCCCAGTAATTTGTTAAAGTACTAATCTAATTGAGGTACTGTCAACTCTCGATAAAAGAAACCGTGCACAATAGTCTATATTAGTTAAAGATCAATGTGTTAATCAAAATTTTCCGGGTCCCGGTTTACTCGATATAAGAAAATTTTGATACAGGGGGGGGGGGATTTCGAACTTTTTTTAAACGTAAAAAGTTGTTACATAATAAACTTTTTATTCTATTAATTATCACCTTTTACGTATTAATTAAAGTTAAACTACACAATGAATGAATTCCATATATCTTGAAATTTTCATTACACTACGTTAGACTTTTATTATTAACATTTAAGCTTTACATTTATATGAAATTTTTTTAATTTTTGAGTTTAATTATAATATATGAAATATTAATAAAACCAATTTTTTAATAGATAATATACTATTAAGTAATCTTGTGTATTATATCTTTATTTACATGTATATTAAATTTTATTAATTTCTATCAAATACTTAAAATCTACTTGGTAAAATATAATTGTCATTAATAAATGATTAAATTTAGAAATTATTATCATTAATTTATAATAATTATTTCTTAGAAAACTTTTTATTTTATTAAGTAAATTGATTTTAGTTAATTATATAAATATAATAATTACAATTAATTCTATCTATAGTAAGTTTTTTTATTAAATTTTAATAAAAAATTATAATGTTATATATAGATATTAATAAAAAATTAAATTTATAATTAAACAA